ATACGTTAGTTCTATCTTTAATTTTTTGAGGAATCTCCATACTGTTTTCCATAGCGGTTGCACCAATTTACATTCCCACCAACAGTGGAGGAGGGTTCCCTTTTCTCCACACCATTTCCAACACTTGTTACTTGTGTTTTTGTTATCAGCTATTCTAACAGGCCTGTGGTGATATTATTGTGGTTTTATTTACATTTTCCTGATGATTAGAGATGTTAAGCATCTTTTCATGAACCTGCTGTCCATCTGTATATCTTCCTTGAAAAAATGTCTATTCAGATCCTCTGCCCATTTTTTAATCAGATTGTTTAGTTTTTTTGCTACTGAGTTCTTTACATATGTTGGATGTTAACGCCCTATCAGGTATATAATTTGACAAGATTTTCTCCCATTCAGCAGGTTGCCTTTTCATTTTGTTGATGATTTCTTTCCCCCTTTTGCATTTCAAAATTACTATCATCACACACTTCAAATGGCCAATGAGGAAGGTGAAAAGGAAGCAAGATCAGGGGAGGAACAACTAATTACAAAAGTCAATGCCCCACTTTTGTGGCATTTTGAGTTTTCAATGCACCTTCCATTGCCTCCGGTTGTTCTCACCGGCCACGTTGCCACTGTTTCACCCAAAACCACTTCCTTAGCTTCCAACCACAATGAAAGGCTCCCCTAAAAGTCGCTCCTTTTCCAAATAAGCCCCATAAAATATACTCATGGGCATATGAAAAAGTTAAGCCTTAGTTAAAAATACCACTAAATGCTTGGAACACAGATCATTTAAAGAGCATAGGTTTACTTCTTAAATCTGTAAGCCAAAATACTGCCTTTTGCTGATACATGTTGACAAAGGCACACAGATACCAGTAAGCAAGGGTGGCTACAGGATGTGAAAAAGCAACACTCAAGGGAAAATTGCACTTTTTCAAATGCTCTCTGTTTCAAATTACAGACTTGGGACATTTCTTTGAAACAACTCTCCCTATTTATTAAAAAAAAAAGTCTGTACATGATTTATACATGTGTTTCAGCTATTTCTAGAAAAATGACTCAGTTTTATGTTTAGAAAAAAAGCATTTCCTTCAGTAAAAAAGAAATCGCTTTAAGAAAGTAGCTTCAAACATCAAACCATTTTGAATACTTATTATCTACTCCAGTCTCACGGCTCACTTTCTTCTTGGTGCCCTCAATTTGCTCAGAGTTAGTAGTAGCGACAAGCTTACCTCTGCTATTCACTGAATAAAAGGAAATTATGACTCATAGCAAAACAAAACATACAAGACAGCAGAACCTCAGCCAAAACTATTAAGAACTATTATACCAAAAAAAGAAAAAGAGAAAAAAAAAACCCACCCCACTTCTTAAAACCATGTATTAGTCTTATAAGGATACACTGGAAATTTAAAAATATTAAAAGGCTTCATCCCAGCTGTGTACACTAAAGATACCGTTGTATAAATGTAGTGTTAACATTTGTGACACTATGTATAAAACCTGTCTACAAAGCAACACTTGAAACAGATGTAGCACAAAATACTTGCATTTCATATGCTTTTTATATGGTTCCCCAAATCAAACTTAATTCCATCCATGCCCAGCTGACTGCAAGTAACAGGTATGACTAATTTTAAAAGAGCACACAGCCATGTCCTAAGGGGTATGCAGTAAGAAGCTACTAAGTCTTGGGTGAAATACTATATTCACATGCTCAACAGTATACTTTAGTGAAGAATTCCAGTCACAGTAACTTTTCACAACAAGATTTATTGTCAGAGCTTGTAAGTGGATATACTGGGAATAGTTCCACGCCTATTAGGAAAAAAACCTTCCAACCAAATGCACAACTCACGCCTGTTACACCACCAGCAGAACTGAATCTTCTACTAGGAAAAAAAAAAATCGGTTTTGCAGTGTTTAGAGTTGGATATAACCAAGACCTGAGAAATAAGTAGGCAGTTACTTTGACAAGAGATAAACAATGGCCCTCCAACTGTAGAGAAATCCAAAAATACACTTCACGTTATTCTGCAGAAAAACAAGTTAACAAATAAAACCCTATCTAAATCACTTTGCTGAAAGGACCTCAGGCTCCTAGCGAAGAGTGCAGTTTCAAGTAGCAACTAAGACGCCTGCTGACAGTCAAATAAAGACCTATTTGATAATCAGCGTGACAGAAAACAGACATTTATGGCTCCCAGCTATTAGCAAGTGAAAGATTAGACTAAATTTTAAGAAAAATTCACCAAATGTTCTAAAATTTCAGACCTTCCAAAATGGCTAGATCCTAAAAGCAAAAGAACAAATAGTTAGCACATGCTGAGGGGAGGGATGGGGGTGGGCAGCAGGGAGTGACCGAAAGGGACTCACAGAAAGAAAGTGCTACCAAAATATGGCATATCATTAGAAATTCAGGTATAGACGGCAAAATGACAAGAACATCATTAAGATCATTGACCATTCCCTAGCACGTGTAGTTATCATGTAAGATCAAAATGAAAAAAACCTGAATGACTTTAGAGAAGCCTAAAGACCAAAGAAGATAACTCGCGATTAGCAATTGAAAGTATTATACAAAGTATCTTCCCACACCTGCCCTGCATAAGAAGAGAAAGATCAAAGTCAGCTTGGAAGAAGGTTTTTTACTTTAGGAAAAAATGTAGTGGAGAAGGCGGCAAGATGAAAAGAGCTGACAGATGAAATTTCCACTAAAAACAAAATTCAACTTTTTCCCTCTGTTCACAGAACTATCTGGAGCCTCTAAAATACCATGGATAAGTTACATAGCCACTAAAAATTTTAAGTATGAAGACTATGTGGCAACCGGGAATAATTCATAGGACAAAATAGGTGGAAAAGGCAGAACTCAAAGTAATATGTACATTATGATTACAATGCTAGGTAAAAAGCTGTAATGATGGTTGTTAAGAAGGGGGCCAGACTTCCTTTTTCTTTTCCAAAGATTCTGTAAATACTGCCATAAAAGTTTTATAGATCAAAAATCATGTTTAAACTATGAGTCTTGGCATTCAGGAAAATGTTAAATAAGTTATTCCTTTCAAGAAAACAAAAGGCACACTGCTTTGTAGTTTATCATTTTAACTACTTCAAATTAAGGAGGATTTCAAACGGCCACACTACAAACGGTGGGTTCTTATCTGTATTAGTACTCAAAGGGTGTAGACTTTCATACTTAGGATGGACAAACATCTGCTTTTCTATGTGGAAAAAATGGTCACACCCGTGTAGGAAACTGACATGTTTAAAAAGCTTATGGCATTCTTAAAGATGTCTACTTGCTCCATTTTTCTAAATAGATAAATCAAAAACGGAAAACAAAGCATCAAAACCAGACCGGTTTTCAGGGGAACCTACTCATCAAACTGTTAACCGAAGCTACTAGTTACAAAAGTAGAGCCTCTCTGGTTTTATTTCTGAAGGAACGCTCTCTATAGCCAACTATTCAGTTTGGTAGGTTCTGTTCTTTCAAACACCTCACTCGGCTAAAACGGATTACAACACATCCAGTGCCTCCCCGACCCTGTTAAGAGAATTCTGAGAAAAAGAGGGTATCTAGCGAAAGACGTCAAGGATTATGGTGATGTATTTTAAAATTTTCAATATGCAAGCAAGACTCCTATGCAGGTTGCTTTAATAGTCTGAGTTCTATTTTATCGGGCCACTGCAGGCAAAGCAGTTCTTTATCTCCTCACCATTAGGACAAGGGTAGGGAGGTGAAGTGCTCCCTACTTCTCTCCTGTAGGTCAGAACCCTGTGGATCAAGTCATCACATTTGACTATTGTAACCGCGCTCAGCGAGTCCTCCCCTTCCTTCCTTTCTTTTCCCTGGACAAATCCCTACGTGACTAACACAAACCTAATTTATGATGTCAATAGGTAGGTCAGGTCCCTAAAAAGCTCTGTCCCAGCGGGTTCAGACTCTGCCTCTCCCCGCCCCACCCTGTCGCGGCTTGGGTGGAATCGCCAATGAAACAGTAACAGTAGCTAAGGTAACAGAGCCGGGCTTAACCGGACCGATGCCGGAGAAGAAGTAAAAAGAGTTTCTCCGTGCCTGGGGGTTGGGAGGCTGGCTCCGCGGACTGATTTTCCATTGGGTGGGGGTGGGTTAGAGACCACAGAAGCGCAAAAGCAGTAGTCTAATCTTTGAAGGCCGGCGGCCGGCTCTGCCACGCTCTCAGCAGG